CGTGCGCGTGCGCGCGCGCGTGTGTGCGCGTGTGTGCGCGTGTGTGCGCGTGTGTGCGCGTGTGTGCGCGTGTGTGCGCGCGCGCGTGTGTGTGTGTGTGTGTGTGTGTGTGTTTGTGTTTGTCTTGTACTGTCGTGTGGTGTACTGTAGTGTACTGTAGCGTGCTGTCTTGTAGTGTGAGGTACACTATTGTACAGTATATTGTGCTGTATTGGTGTGTGAACTAACAATCCCTCGCACACCTTGCCGGGTGTGCGGGAAAGTGCACTGAGAAGAGCTCTGTGGAGCCGACTCACTCGGGCTGTGAGCCGAAGTCACCAGAGGAGCAACAGAACAACATCGCCCCACCAAGACATACCAATGGAACAGACGGAGGGAACCTCAAGAGATGACTGGCAAAGGACAGGTGTTGACAGCGTATGTCGTGGAGGTACCGGCATGCTTTTTGTACATTCACCATAAACGTAGTAATAGAAGTTGTCCAAGTCTGAATATGATCAGTAGCAGGGGTCTGAGGAGGACCTCGAGCGGAGCTATGGAGGAGGGAACCGAGTCTGACATCGCGTTTACGTCAAAGTACACAGAACGCTTACCGCCATACCCTGTTTGAACTGCACAAGCTGTGAACATCCTGCCATGCGCTTGATGTCCAATGCTGCTCCAGTACGAAGAGGGAAGAAGCCGCGGCATTCAGGATCTTGTCCTTGGTCAAGTCTTGCGGAGAAGTGGCGATGGAGGAAGCAAGACGAAATGTGGCATCGCTCATGTATTGCTGCCCATGATCGTGGCATTCCTGCACTTGCTTGCTGCTCGTCTCGTTTCTACAGACTGCTGAGGCACATCTGAGCTTCTGGAAAAGGTCTTGCGACTTTCCCGTAGAGTCAGTTGGCTTCGCTGCAAGTTAAGACTGCGAGGTGCAGTGTGTACTTGGACAGCAACTGGGCTGCTGGCTGGCGGTGATCGGAGAACGGTGACCGACTGCAGGAACATTTTCTGGGCGTTACCTTGCCTTGGGCTGTCTTGCCATGTTGTCAAATCTGCCAATGCCTTCGATGATGTCTGCAGGCTTGGACCCGAACAGCCCGCAGTCTTGGAGGATCATCGGCAATTCTTGCAGAATTCGTCCCAACTGAGCCTTAGAACAAGATTCACCGGACCCACGAGACGATGCAGGGAGCTGGAAGCTGACTATCACTGGTAAGCACTGAGCCAGTTGTTGGACTTCTCGGGTAGTTACTTGCTCATCAGGCGTTGAAAAGCCTCGGAGGAGCACAGCAAGCCGACCTTGTCATCTTGCTAGGCCCTGCTGGGCCATCCCAAGCTCCCAGCTCCAAAGCTTCTGGCTGGGAGCCACCTGCAGCAAGACCTCACCAATCGAGTCCCAGAGCTCCTGCAATCCAGGTAAAAATAATTGAGGTTGAACTCCAACAATGCCCCGACCTCTAGTGCCGGTAGCGTCGGGCTCATCTTGCCAACGCAATGATCGAAGAGGACGGGGTGCTCCCAGAGAAAAATGGCCTCAGCATCATCTCGTCTATGAAACTTGTGACCGTCATGTGTCCTGATCTTTGTTTGGTGCCAAGCGACACGGCCATCCGATCTGTGGCCAAAGAAGCTGCGCAGCAGCGCTGAAGTCACCTGGTACCAAACAGCGAGACAAAGCCAGAACCTCTAATCAAGCCGGAAAGCTCATCCCCGGCACCTCAAGCAGGTCGGAAGATGTTGGACGCTTTGGTCCAGGCATCGCCGGGACAGCCTCTTCCTCCCAGATCGAAACGTGCATCCCCAAACGATCTTTGTCATTGGGCACTCCGTACAGGATTGAAGAAGCGCTGGAGTATCAGTGGAGCATTTGAACACTGCATGGTACAGAAATCTCCTATCAGGATGGGCCGTGTTGAGGAAGTGTACGCTGGTTCAGCAGTCGCCGACGAGTCCAGATTGCACAGAAGAAGGGATTAGGCCTCGGACTAGAAGACTTTGAGAAGCACAGTTCATGACTCACCAACACAACTAAGTAACACATCACAGCTGATCCCACGCACCGCCACTCATCTCAATGCAATTCAGGGCTCGACATTGTCACATAACCATTTCGACCAGCTCCCTAGCTCCCTTTTCTTACTGACGACATGGCCATGCACTGCTGTCCTTCTTCTGCTTTGTCGATGACACAGCATCACCCAAGGCCTCATGCAAACGGAAGCCCCTGAGGCCCTGAGAACTCAAGGACTCAAGGCAAGGCGATCTTCCTTATGCTTCTCTCAGAGGGGCCCGTCGCCAAAGGCCCCCAAGATCTCGACCAAATGAAGCATATTCCTGTGAGAAGGAACAGTCATACCGAATCATACTTGTCTTCTGTCATGGCTGACGCCGGCCGACCTCGTGGGTAAAATCCCTAGAGGCGGTGACCTGGCGAAAAGGACACTACGCTGCCAGAAGGCTGCCAGCCGGTAGTCCAGGGATCCAGCCAAGTCATCGTGAACGTCCGTGCGTTGCAGCATCAAACGGCCATTTTGTGCTTGCCTTGGTGGTATGCGTGTGAGCTCGACACAGCTTCGGAGCTGAGGGCCCAGCAACAGCAACAATGCATCGCTCGCTTTCCTCAGTGCCGCACTAGATTCACTAGAGATGGAAACGCCGTGACATGCTGCGAAACACCTCCATGTCGGAGTAACGGCACACCAGCTCGGAGCTGGGCCGCAGGTCCAAGAGAAGTTCGTGCGAGAAGCATGCTGATGCAATGTGCCCCTGCGCATGTTATAAAGGGAAGCTTGCCAACAAGTCAAGTCACAGACTTCATGAGTTTCAAGTGGGTACGCCCAACCAAGTCCAATTACGCTTCTTTTGTGTGGCAGGGGGCCGAGGATGGTGCGCGGGCAGCTTGCGAGTCGCAACAGGCTGCATGGGATTGTGGATGGCTCAGCTTGCACGAAGTTTGGGCAAGAGCTCGTGTCGTCATATTCGCCAGTGCAGTGTGCACATGTCTTTTGTGGTGGTTGACCTACTCCCCAGAAAAAAGCTACACGCTGCAGGGGATCTTGGACGAGAAGTCTGTTACCCATCGCTGATTCGATATTTCGGGATGGGGATGGTGCAATGTCTGGGGCTGTGCGGGTGCATGTCGAGCTCACCTTAGCCACAAAGCGAAAGATAATCCAAAAGATGATGCGCTTCCTTACCAGCACGAGGTAACATTCCGATACTAGGAGAACGTCCAAGCCCGATTGAACCTGCGAAAGCTTGAAATCCTACAATGCTTCGATCTGCAACACGATTGCCTCCAGCTCGATCAACGCCTGCAAGCTGCCCGCCTGCTCTTAAAGCCAGGTTGACACGCTTGAAGCGACGCATTTGACCGGACAGCCAACTTGACGTCCATTACCATCTATCTGTTCACTGCTTCCCAGCAATAAGCCGAGATGCCAGACTGGCCACCTGTCGGGAGCCAAGAGACCTCGGAGCCGTAACGCAGCCAAAAGGAGCTGCATTTGCTTTGAAGTCTGCTGCTTCCCGATCGCAGACAGCCGAACATGGCACCTGATAACAAGGGCCTGGCTCTGCACGGCCAGCAACCTGCGTGCTGCGACATCTTGACCATAAACAGGATGATTCGGCTGTCCAGGCCTGTGGCTGGAAGGCATCTTGTAGCCTAAGCCGAATGCACACGACCCGCACTTGCAGCATTAAGGTGGGTGCGGCAGGCATAACATCTCTGCACGGTCTCTTGACACTGACACACTCGACTTCAAATTGAACTGCATGAACCTCTGCTCGCAAGCAAGCCGGGCGCTCGGCATTGTGACGAAGTGACCCGATGCATTGTACAGAACAGCGGCCCCACCCGGACCTGCCGAAGATATGCTGATATGCTGTCTCACACTTCCCTCTACACTCCGTGATTGATTCGGCGGTTACAGCGAGAGCTTTAACGCTGGATCGAGTTCGAGTGTTCTATCAACATGGCACACAGGAACGGAACGAGACCGACTCAAGCCATGTACATGCTGCCAACGCTGCCAAGAAGCGTTCATCTTTACACCGCAGTCATGTTTGGGCTTCATGCGGGGGAACAGTGAACCCAGAATGTCGCAACTCACAACTTTGGCATCTGCTGCAACGAAGAAACCAGAATTAATACATAACGACCTAATGGTTAGTTACAGCAGCAATACTCAGTTTAATCAGGTTCTCTCGAAGCCGGAGCAATGCGCTCGGTTCCGAACTGGATGTCAGTTCGTCGTGCATCACTCGTTCCATCCGTGGGGAGGGAAGGGCATGAGCGGCTTGCTTTTTTCCAGGTTGTGCCTGGTCCAGCTGACTGCATGAACCCTGTCACCTGATTCCGACATGCAGACGACCTGAACTTCAAGCGATAGTGTGTCTTGAGACTTCAGACTTGAGAAGGGCCACGAAAGATAGTGGGACTAGGGCTTAGGGGCTATGGCGCCGTTGCTACTTTCTTCGGTGCTAACGAGGTTTCCGGCCTCAGCATGCTTAGAACTGCTTTTGCTGCCAGTGCTAGAATGTCTTGTTAGCCCGCTCTTGCTGACCCACCACCAATTCCTGAAAGCTCCTGAAGATAGCTATGTGAGCGGCATTCATCACAACGCTACAAGACGGGATCTTCTTTAGTTCTAAGGCTCTAAGGGCGCCAGGTAACACGTTGCTTCGCAGGGTTGGGTCGGGCTGCGTTTCTCGAGCCCGGGCCGGCTCGGGAGGTCTGCAACTGAGCATTCAACGCAGCGAGAGCTAGCAAAACATGCAGCTTAGCAAGACAAACGGAGCTTGAAAGAAGCAGAGTAATGTCATAAATCATAAAACGATCTCTTCCACAAGCATGACTCCGACCGCGCCTGTCATCAGACACTCAGCGTTCTTCACCTCCAAAGCCAGGCGGCATGGGCGGCGGGAGGTCATAGACCGCACGACAGCAATGCGAGGCCTGCTGCTCTGGGGGGGCAAAGCCGTCCGCCGCTCCGACGGCCTGGAGCTGTCGGCTCTGTGGAATGTGCGCAGAGGCACACATGATGTGCAGGATGCCAGACTTAGGAAGCGGCGATCATGCGCCCCCATGCCTGACACAAGGAGTAGCTCAGCCCAAACGATAGCAAGACAGAGAAAACCTGACAAACAAGGCTCGTGCACGAGCGAAAAAATATCGCCTCCGCCCTGGAGTCAATCGATGCCGCTGCCGCAACTGCCTTGTCACCTTCAAGGACAAATCTGGCAGCTGATGTTGAGAAGCACGCAACGACGCTATCGATTGGAACCGGGGTATGGTCCCTGCAAGCCGAAACCCCCTCAATCCCGGCCTAAACTGTCCACTGTACTTTCCAGGCTAAAGAAATCTCTAAAGGTGTCGACTGCACTCCGGCCTGCAACCGGCCAGGTGACGAGACAGGCCAACCACACGTGGAGAACTTGCACTCGGGTGGGCTCCGCCTGTAGCAAGAGCTGTGCCCATGAAACTCTGAGGACTTCTGCCAAGTGGATTCCACATCCGTTGCAGGCTGACAATGTCAGTGCTGCCTGCCCCCTGCGAGGGCTGCAAGATTCCGCCATGACATCATGGCACGTAAACTGCTACGGGCTTCGGCTGACTAAGCTTCCAGGCAGCAGCTGTTTGAGGCTGTGAGTCAGGCTTAATTAGAAAGGCTGAACTTGGGCCACGCATCTGCGACCGTTTCGCCGCTTTACTTCATCATATGCCGCTGCAACATCAGCGCTGGTCAAATGCCGAGCAGACGCAACATCAAGTGACAGCTCTGCGCGAAGCAAAACCAAAGGAAACTTGAGGTGCACGGCCCTGGACCTGAAGATTTTGTTTCGCCTCCTTCTGTCCATGGTTCAAGTACCTGGCTGTGGACATTCACTCTCAGCAAAATGACCGCTGCCCACCCACTGCACATTACGGGAAGCAGTGCTGCGGGACTTTTGTGTTCGCGCTTGCACGTGTCACTGTCTTTTGCTGGTCAAAGCCTTTGGCTAACTGGACGAGGTTCTGCCCTTTCCGTCGGTATTCTATCACGCGTAGTTTGTGAAAAGGGGTCTTCACAGTCGCAGAACCTCTGTGGCACTCTCTGGCACTTTCGTTTAAACACATCCCGAACTGCCCGACTGTAACACTGGATTGACCAGCACTGCCTGCAGTCCCCACACCAACCGCCGGAAAATAATTTGCAGCAGAAACCTGCTCAAGCTAGCATCCAATGCGCTGCTCAAGCTAGCATCCAATGCGCTTGCCGACATTCACCGTAACTTTCTGCTGCCCCGGCGACCTGTGCTGCTTCAAACGCCTGCTTAAAACTCGTCCCATCATCCGTGCTTGGTGGCAGTTCACTGGTCCTTGCAGCTTGGCCGTCAATCGATTGAACCCGGGCACCAACGTTGCGATGTCAAGCCTGCTTGACCTCGTCAACATCAGACCTTGCAAATTCGAGGAAACGCTGTTGTCCACAAGGTAGGAACGGCAGGAACGCCTTTGCAGCTCAGAGCGGAGCGGCTTTCGGCCGCCTTCAAGCTCAATGAATCGTCGCTGAGCGGCTATCCGCTCGGCCCTTATTCGAAGCTCTTAGTCGCTGGGACGTGTACACAGTGTACAGGGTAGAGACGGTAGAGAGTAAGAAGCAGTGGCGATTTCCATCGACGAGGCCACCACAGCGCCTTCTCCAGAAGCTCCTCTGTTTCTGCTAGACCTAGCAGAAGTATGCACTGCAGAAAACCCGGGTGTAGTCTGTCATGCACGATGTGAATATCAGACGCCACAAAAAAGTCGGAGGAAGAGACGTCGCTCGGCACCAGCACTTCTTTCTTCGGCTGCCTTTCGGCAAGCAACTTCTGCTGCAAATCGCCTCGGGCAGGACATGGCGACCATGTCCAAGTTTAATCGGCACCTTGTGATCAAGGTTGTCACGTGTCGGCCGCAGCAATCCGACGCTGGAGTAAGGAAATTTCTTGCTGATGTTGAGTCACACTCGCCTGAAGCCATTCGGACATCCGGATCGTATGCTCGACATGCAAGCAAGACAAAACTGCCTCAGCCTCCTTACACGAAGCTTCGAGCTTCGCGCGCTCTTTTGCACAAGCCTGCAGCACACAATGTTCAACGGAGTCTCTCTCAAACGCAGACCGACACACACTTTGGCTCAGCACGGGTGCCTGCAACGAGCGAGCGACAGGACAAGACGATGGAAAGACAGAGAAGCAAGACATGAGATGAAGAGCAAAGCAGAGTAGTCGCCATGTCCAGGCGCTCACACGCGCACACACACACACAAGAGTCTGACCGTGCAAGAATTCAAGAATTGAGGATGCCAAGCTCGACGAATAAACCGGACCCAGGAACCTGCGATCGGAGGAAGACTTCCCGTTTGAGAACCTCTTGTTCATTGGTTCAAACTGCATGCATCGCCCTGGCCCCAGCGAGCGTGTTGTCCGGGGCGGGGCTCACGCATGGAAGAACAGAAGACAACTCCAAAGACAGTCGTGCAGTTCACGAATGCCGTTGCATACAAGCTAGCACATATTCGCCGCAATGCCCCGAAACCACCGTACCGCCTGAAAATAAGCGCATCTTCATGTTCCGTGCATGGACCTACGACTCAACGGAAAGAACCGGTACAAGCTCGGCGCTAACAGACATGTTAGCCAAAATAGAACGGCGGTGCAGTAGCCCTTTTTGGTCGGAGCGCAGTCGTGCGCCCGGCCAGGCGCACCGCCACAAAATCGGTGTCGGGGCCGGGGTGCGCACTCCAGCGCCCGTCCGGCGCACCCACACCCCACACGGCGTCGGCACCTACCATACCGCTAAATCTAAGAGGCGCTCAGGCCGCTCAGGTGCCACATGGCAGGCGAAGTCAATGTCGTTGGCGGCCCGGGCGAGGACATCCATGATGTCGTCCACCGGGGTAGCCACTCTTGTCCACCCCTCGGCCCTGGCGCGTGAGTCATCTCCTCTGGAGATGGCGTCGGAGACATTGGACTCCGAGAGGACCCGATGAAAATCGGGCGACCACTGGCGATCAGCCGCAAGGCCCCAAAAGGAGGCGAGGATAGCGTTGACCGAGGGATCCTTCCCGTATCCGATCATATAAGGGCAAACTGCCCTGCGACGTTGTCGATGAAGGCGATCCAGAAGGGGCTGAGGCGCCTGGCAAGGGCAGGACCTGAGCGACGATCTCCAGGACGTAGATAAAGGCCTTCCTGGCGGTGAAGGGGGCCAGGTGCTCCGGTTTGATGACCCGTAGTCGTAGAAGACGTGGCCGTCCAGGAGCAGGACATAGCCCCAGCCATTCTGCCACCGAGCCGCCCGGGGGACGGCCTCTCCAGGCCCCAAGTGCCCAGACTTTTTCCTGAGGTCCCCGTCCAGGAAGAACGCGTCGGCGCAGAGCACCGGGAAGGGGCCCGTGACCCGCCCAGGCCAAGGCACCAGGCGAGGCCGCGACGAGTGCACCAGACGGCGCAAGGCCATGAGTGCGGACCGGAGGCCCACCGAGAGCGAGTCGTCGGAGTTGGCTGCCGTGTCCGCCGCCCGAAAGTAGAGCGCGTGAGCCGTCCCGCCAGGCGCGACAGGCTATCCTCTGAGAGGGCGGCGTCGATCTGATCCAAGATCCAAGCCCGTCTTTTTCTGGGTGGGCGCCAGCTCGACTCCTTGCGGGCGGATGGCCAGGTCGACCCCCTGCACCACGTGCCGCTTGGCAGGCGACTGGGCTTTGGAGGGCTTGGTCTGGAGCCCCAGCAAGGCGAAGAAGTCGGCGACGGCGTAGTGGGCCGAGTCTGCCAGGTCCCGCCCCGTCCACGCCATTGAAGTCGTCGACCAAGTGCCCGCGCATGACGATCGAAGCAGCATCTGATCTGGACCGCGTCCGCCGCGCGGTTGAAGTTCCAGACGCTGGCTGCCGCCCCAAAGCATATGGCGAAATGGAACCATAGCGTCACGCCCGAAGCGGACGGGAGGAAGGTGGCGCAGTGCCCCGGGAAGCGGACCGCCCACTGGCGGTACTGAAGGCCGTGGCCGAACACCACGGGGTCCCAGCCTTCCGCCCATGCCCGGAGGACGAGGTCGACGATGTCTGCCAGGAAGTGGTGCGTCGAGACGTCCCCGCGCCGGTGGCGTTGTGCCCGCGGCGCCAATCTTTTCTGGCACAGGTTCAGGTACCGGCTCGTCGACCGCAAATGGCGAAGACAGAGCCGCAAAGCAGTCCCCACCCATGCCTGCCACAGACGGCAGCGCCGTGGTGTTCACGGACCGTGGTCCGGGGCGGCGCAAGGCCCCGTGACTCGGTCGAGGCGAGTCTCCGCCACCAGCTCATCCAGCACAGCAGCTGGTCTAAAAGCCTTCCTCGCCACATAGGCAGGGTTTTTTGGCTCCGGGCCACGCATAGCGGTCGGTGCGGGGCTTCCAGCCCGGAGCCGGGCGAACCTGGCCCAGCATGTCGAAGCCCCGATCCACGTCCTGCTTCATGGCGTCGGCTGTTGGGTAGCCCAGACACCGGAGCAGCCGATTGTACGGGATTGGGCCTGTCGCTGCTAATGTCGGTGGCCCGGACGTGGCGGGGCAGGGAACCCAGCCAGGCAGCCGTCTCGTCGGCAGAGTCGTCGACCATGTCCTGCGTCATTCCAGCACGGCCTCTAGCGCGGGCTCGAGGGCGGGCCAGCCAACCAAGGAGTGCTCCGGCCCAGGAGGGCGGGGCGGCGGTGACAGGTCCCATGCACCCTCTACGCAGCCAGATCTGCGACAGTGAAGGGACAGTGAAGGGATCGTGCGGCGCGGCGCCCAGCGGCCACCGCCCCGGGCGGGGTGCCTTCTTGAAAGGCGGTTTCTGGATCGTCGAGGAAGAGCCTGCCGCCGCGAACGGCTGCACGATGGGTGTCGGCGGCGCCCTGTCCGCTGCTTCCCTTTCCTGGAGGAACTCCTCCAAGGCGGTAGGCCCAGTAGCCTCCCCATCGTCATCTAGCACCGGGCGTCGGGGGGCCTGCGCCTGCTGGGCGACGGGCCCGGGTGAAGTCGCCGAGGAAGAGGGTGGCTTAGTAGACGACGTCGGTGCCAAAGGAGGGGAGCCCAGAAGGTCCAGTCTCGGCGGGGCTGGCCCCGCGCTGCCTTCGCCCACCACAGGCGCCACGTCCACCAAGGGCTGGGCTTCAGCCTGCCGAAGTGCCCCGTCGAGGCAGAACCTGTCACCAGGCGACAGGGCTCGGATGGCCGCCGCCAGGACCGCCTGGGTGTTGTCGCCCACATGGACGAAAAGAAGACAGCCCCCTCCGTCTGCACTGCGACGTCGTGGGAGTCAAAGGCGGGAATCGGCGTGAGGTGCTCCGTCTGAGCCCCGACGTTGAGGACGTGGATTGCCGCCGGTGGCGGGCCCATCATCGGAGCCCCGGCGTTGTCGGCCAGAAGCTCCTCGTCCTCGTCGCTGGAAGAGGGGACGCCCATAACGGGCGGAGCAACATCCTCATCCCCAACCGCTGGCTCGACCAAGGCCGCGGCGCCCACAGAGGGCAACCCGGCGAAGTCCCCAGCCGGAGCGCCCGACGTGGGCTGCCCGGCGTTCTCTCCAATCTCGCCCGGCGTGGGCGAAGCCCCAACCCTAGCTGCCGTAGGCGCCGAAGTCGTCGTAGCTGGCGGAGCCACCAGGTCTGCGACCACGGTGTCGACGAAGGAGCCCAGCGAAGAGGAAGGCGCAGCCATATCCGCTGAGGGGCGAAAGGAGAGAACGGAGAGAAAGGGGAAAGTCGAAAAGGTCGAGCCGATGCAGCTGCACGGCCGACCACTAGAGCTTGTACCTACACACACACGTGTGTTACACAACAACTAACCTGCCAGTCAAAACAAAAACAGCGCAAATGCAGCTTCTCGGAGGAAGCAGCTTCTCGGAGGAAGCTTGGCGGCGCAGCAACGAAATTCGCATGTTCCTGCCGTCCCTGCATGTTGGTCTCAATAACTCTACTCAGCAAGCGTCACTTTGTTTGCTGGCACGAATGATCTATGCAACTGCCACCCTGCAGAGTTCGTTTCCTCGGAGTCTCGTCGTCACAGCGGCGTTCGTTTCGTTTTTCAGCCAGAAGAAAAAGCAATCAGCAACCTGAAAAGTCGCCGGAGAGAGGCGAAACATGCTCATGACTAGGGTGAAGTATGTTGAAATCTATACCTGTTTGTGTCTGTCTGTCTGTATGTATGTATGTATGTATGTATGTACGTATGTATGTATGTATCCAAGCACAAGCAACTAAACGTATGTATACAGAGCATATATATATATATATGCACACTTACAGTGTTTCTGAACACATACGTTCTTTATTTTAACACACACACACACACACGCACACGATCATATATATATATATATACACACACGCATATATATATATATATACATACATATTTGTAACTATCAAATCACGGTCCCCTTGACAAACCCTATATAATTCTGTTCTTGAGTCGGTGCCCTAGAGTTGGGCCCCGCAGGGGACTCTAGTTTTGACGACCGCCTATGTATGTATGTATGTATGTATGTATGTATATACATGTGCATATAATATATATATATATGTGTGTGTGTGTATATATATATACACATAGTACATACATATATATATATATGTATAAATATATACATATACATATATATGTATATATATATACACACATATATAGAGAATTTTATATACACATACATGCATATGACTGTTTCGTGTGCGTTTTGCAGATTTGCGTGATGCAGATGTGATGAGAGCAATCTGCATCTTGAAATTCTTGACCTCAGACGCTGCCAAGAACCGCATTGAACTCCTCTTGGTCCATGTTTGGCATTCTGACCTACGAAAAATGACCTTCAGAGCCAGCGCTCCCAAAGCTTCAATGTGTCGCCGTTTAAGGTTCAATATGATTGCAGAACGACAAGTGCGACAGATTTATGTTGACCCAGCATGATCTTCGTATGCATCCCACATTTGGAGGTGGCGATTGTCTTGTTGGAATCGTACAAACGAGTCGAAATTGAATGGCTCAATTAGCTTGAAAGGAGAAAGCAGGACAACCACAAATCTTGCCAACATCCTGACGAACTCACACTGTCAGAAGACGTCAATGAAAACAACCCCCCTTATCCCAGTCATCGGACTGTCTGCAGATCAGGACCTTCCTTATTTTGGTCGCATTCCGGGCGAACTTGCAGGCATGACTTGAGGAGACATTCCTTTCTCGCACCGAGCATGTTCCGGGTTGCCTGTATGTTCGATGCCAAAAACGCTCATGCCCCAATCCCAAAAGCATGCCCAAGAAATCGTGCAAAACAAGGCAAGCAAAAGACCCACTCTCGCACGCACCCTGCACATCCCTGCGCTCACCCATGCCCCCAAGCCGAAAACCCTGCACAAACTGTGCACAAGAACAAGTCCAAACAAGTTAAGCCGCACACACCCACACATAGACACCCGACCCCTCACAGAAAGCTCTTGATCGGATAACTCCAGACAGCAGGCGGAAGCACGGATAGATGGAGATAGATGGTGCAGACATCTGGAGCTTAACCCCAGAACGCCGAGGCTGCCTCTGCAGATGAGGTAGACTGCTCCAGTTCTGCCTCCCAGGGTGTGCTTTGATGGCGATATCTTCACCATGCAACAGGAGCCTCCAACGAAGCGACTTTCTGCTCAAGACTTTGGCATCGTTCAATGCTGGCCGCTTTCTCGTCCTGCCGGTGAAAAATTGAAGAAGTGCCCGAAAAACCGCTTCCACGAAGGCCTCGGAGACCTTCCGCGAAGTCTCTTCCTCGGAGAGCTTGGCCTGCGACCCAGCAAAAAAAACCGTCAGAGGCACTCCAGACTCTCTGAGCTCTCTGAGCTCTCTGAGCTCTCTGAGCTCTCTGAGCTCTCTGAGCTCCTGAAGCTCCGAGTTGAGTTGCACGGCGCTTTCGGACCTGAGAGCCGGCCGAAGAAGCTGCTTTCCTGGTGACATGAAGATCTGGCCCTCTAGGCTCGCGGCTGCTGAAGCAAGCTCTGCTTCTCCGCCTCTAGAGCTTCGAGGCTCCGCCGTTGCTCGTCCAGTTTATTGGCATGTTCCTGGCCAAGCTTGATCTGCGCCTCACAGAACACGCACTTGCAGGCGACTCATCTCACAGCTTCGCTGAACTGCCTCATGGGCGTCAGTCAAGGATTCCAAGTCGGACCTCAGCAAGATGCTTGGTTTGAGCACATCATGTCATGGACTCGGCTGAGCTCGGATCTTCGCTGTGGCAAGCTCCTGTACACAGAAACATTTCGAGCGCATGCAGGAGCACTTAAAGAAAGAGCACGACAAAGCTTCGTTAAGGCACCACGCCGTAATCGCTCTGCTCGCATGAAGGAAGGCGACAAACAGCCCACACCCAAACCCGAGAAGTATCAAGACTTTCTTCTGCCCCCTACCCTGGGCTCCATGTCGGAAGAAGGACTGCCCAAGGACATAACAGAATGTCATACACAAGACAATGCAAGTGCAGTATCCTCGTCCCGTAGCTCTAGCTTTGATTCCACCTCTTTGCGAGATGCAATCTCCAGATCGAGCCTTGGCAACAAGAGCAAACATGAGCTCTGAAGATCTGCGCAGAAGGATCCGTCAACTCTTGGAGATTGGCTTCTGCCTCATCTCCCTCAGCTCCTCCTGCAGTTGATCCTGCAAAACAGAAACTATGGCTCATGCTGTAAAGCGAAAAGCGCTTCGGCTGCCCTCTCCTGGGCTGCTTCGAGCTCTTTGCAGTGTCGCCTTGGTAAAGCGCGCTTCACACACAAAGAGTGCTGCCCTGTACTGCTGTCCACGCGGTGCCCTGTGCCAAGTGCAACCGAGGAGCTGGTGCTCGGCCTCCGCGGTTGTTGTAGCCTGCAATCGCAAGCGCTTTAGTTGCCGCAGGATTCAGACCTCTGGGCACGTCTGCGTCCTGTTCCGCAAGGTGGGACCGCTGCTCTGCCTCGCGACGGCCGCAAACCTGAGGCACGAAAGGGAAGAAGCAGCTAGTCGCGTAGTCGCACGCAAGCTGCGCAGCTGGCTGCATTGTCCGCTTCCTTGAGGGCTTCCTTAACTGCAGCCTCAGCCAATCAACAGGTCGAGCTCCAACACACCTTTGTGCAAAGCTTCGCGCCTCCGCCTCAACCAGTTGCGCTTCCAACTCTTGCTTGACTTCCTTCCGTCCGGATAGAGGCTCCAGAGTGGAATATCATACTAGAGTCAATGAAATAATCCATGAACAGATGAACAACATGCCCAATCCCTTCTGAAGCATGCCAACAGTGCTAGGAAATAAAAACAGATCCATGATACTGCCCCCTATGTGATTAGAAGCAAAGGGTCTCAGCATGTCTCAGCAATTGCAAATGCCTGTTTCCACAAATGCAGCAAGCATCCCAAAAGCGAGTCGACGAGAATCTAAGTCATTCTGAGAACCCTCCTTGAGAGACATCCTACCCGCTGCCGACCCATCGGGACCTATCTGTCGAGGATTCAAAAAAAGGCATGGGGATTACCACCCAGCCCGTTCTGATCCCTGCACTGCCCAAGCAGAACAGTCTTACGACACTCTGCTGCGACATTCGACAACTCACTTCATGCCGACAGCCATGCCCCGCCTTGACTGTGCTGTCTTTCTCGGCTTCAATCTCGGATATGCGCACCCGAAGACTTTGAAGGCGCTCCTGCACAAAGTTCGAGAAATCTTAGGTAGCCGAAACATTCCACAGGAGCAGGTCAGACCAGGGTCAAAAGACCGAAGGCGAGCCAGGCAAGACAACGAGGCTACATCGGCTACATGGTCCATGATGTAGCAGATCCGTCCTCTGCTTCTTGCTCCTGGACATGACACAGACACGAAACACAGAGGCAGAGACTCTTCAATGTTACGGCCAGACTTTTGCCCAGTCTGTAGGCTCCTCTTGCTCACTCCGTGGACTCAGCATTAATGGAACAACGTCCGAGCCTGAAGCAACCGAGCACAAGAGTCCCCAGGAAGGGAATGTGAGCGGCGCAGCATATCACTGTTAAGATCAAAGCTGAGGAGATCCTTGAGACCCTTCGAACGCTTCCTGAGTCGGATTGAGCCGAGCACTCTTTCACAGCTTTACTTTCGCACGGGTCCAGCACGTCCACGGTAAGGCTCTCACGAAGCCTGCTTCAGAGCCAATGCCCAGCCTTGCAACTTCAACGGCAAGAAGCCATAGATCTTCTCACAGTCTGGGAACCCTGCGCTCGGCTTCTTCAGCAGTGTCGAGCTGGATGGCAAGCAAAGGACTACCTGGAGCCTGGCCAGACACGAGAACTGAGAAGGCGTGCTCCGCAGTACTGAATGAGCCTCGATTCGCACCGTGGTCGGTGATCTGAACTCCACAGTCGCACCATGCAGCACCACTGCTGCCTGCCAGGAAGATGGATGCCTCGAACAAAGATCCGCCCCATCCGCTCCGAAGCCTGTTGCTTGCCCTTCCGCTGGATGAGCAGCAGGTCCCCGTGGAGCCGCGCGAAGCAGCGCGCCGGCCAAAACATGCCTGCAAAAGATCTGGGCGTGCCGGGTCAACTAGCTCTTCGGCACTTGACATGGGACTTAAAGAAAGCGACAATAGGTCAGGCTAGTCTGGTTATACCGGCCTCCGAGCTTGTAAGTCACCTCGCCACCGAGCGTTTCAATCGGCGCAAGCGCAGGTGTGACATTCATGCCACCCAAGTCTAGCGGTGGCACGGCCACCGCTGCAACCATGCTTGAAACTGGACTGAAACGCTAGGTCGCAGCAGCTGGAAAAAGATCAGAAACGCTGCGACAACATAACACACTGGGTCAAAGGGTCGAGCACACATCATGCTCGCAGAGTCACACCTGATGATGCTGGGGAGGAGCACTGAAGGAACTCGTGCACACGCGCGGCCTTGTCATTCCCTGATGACCTTCGAAGGGTTTCGCGGCTGTGTTGATGTGGTGCTGTTGAACAAGGCTGCCATCTTTCAGAACCTGAAAACACAAGATGCCCAGCCATAGGACGAACACCTAAGAGAACGGACCAGCGGGCAGAACCGCCAAATGGCGCTCCAACCTGAAGCAAAGTGGTCAAACTGAAGCAAAGTAGCTCGAGAAGGAACTTCTCCCGCCAGTCGAAAAGCCTGCAAGGAGTCCAAGAAATAAGATAACGATCCGGAAAGACAGGGCTTCTTGCCTTTCAACCAACTCCTCCGTCTTGGCATCGGAAACAACCTCCCGTGACGCTGTAAAGTGGGCATTCGACCGACCAGGCACGAAGGCACGGAATTTCTGCAGTGACTGAGCTGTTCGGCGGTGTTGCCAGGGATGTTGGCAACCTTGCTCAGCAGTCCGTACGTTCCACGAAAATGCACTGCACCGGAGATCACCCGAGCAGCATGTGCCGACAGCTCCCAAAGCTGACCAAGAAACCGCAAATCGCAACGGGTAGTTTGCGGCAGCTGCCTGTCAGAAGTGCTCCGCAGGACCCTCGTGCCCGGCTGAGGGATGACAAAGAAATCAAACAGGTATTGCAAAACAAATGTCTGAGATCAAGAACAAAAAACCTGGATCAACAAATCATAATATCATATCCCCTCGAAAGTATGTTCAAGATTACACGTTTTCTGATCAAAACAAAATCAAGCGGGTATCAAAAAAACTCAACAGGGATCAGGTTTTCTGCGGACCAACCAGGGTCGCAGCATTGTGGGCCGTTGACATTTAAAGTGCCAGGTGTGTATGAATGCATATACGTATGATGTATGCTCCTGCCTTCCTTCCTTTCTTCCTTATTCCTTCCTTCTTTCCATTCTTTGAGAGGGAAACAGCAGCTTGTGGGTATTCACGGCTGTGATTTACAGCACATCAGAGTTAAATATTTGTTGGATCCCTGTTGATTTCTTTTTGATCTCTCCTTCATGTTTGTTTATCCCTATTTGTTTTTTGATGCTTATCCCCTCGTGCCCGTCCAACGTTCACACCGCTTCAAAAGACATTGGGCTAAGCTCAAGCATTCGTGTCGGCTCTTGCTACCACGCCTCTAGAAAGTGGACTTGTGTGTACTTCACTTTGCACGGTTGCCGGTGATTCGTACCATAGAAGACTAACCTCTCTCCGAGTTTTTAGCTCTCCATTGATGACACCGCTGGATTGAAACTTTTGCAAGAGGAAAATCTTGGTTTGGTCTAACTTCTGAAATGCAGAAGCTGTTTAGTTGTTAGTTAAGTGAAAGCCCTCGATTGACCAACACTTCCGGATCAACCTCTGCCAAGGCCTGTCTGTAGCTGTTCAAAAACACGGTTGTGTAAGCCGCACTGCAAAAGCGACTTTCCCGCCCTTCGAGAGAGAGATCTCTTGGATGGCCCGAGCTCGCCGAGCTCGAATGGCTGGTGGCACGTGGCGCATGCGGCCGGGAGCAAATGCGGGAGGTCTTTCCCACAGGCTGGGTTTGGCAGGCCAACAAAATCCAATACTGTACGGACAGCTTGGTGGACCGCCAGAGCAGCGCACGATAAGGCACAAGCTCGGCAGCGTGGATGCAAGCACATATGTGTTGTTATGAAGCTTGAAACTTATGAGATGCTAGTATTCTTCTGCATTACACTGGCGAACATACAGATACACCCTTGTCCTAGCATCTGGACCGACCTCACTGCGCTCCGGTTGTCCCTGCACAAGCATGAACTCGGCCATCTGCGAGTAGCTTCGAACTGCTCGGGTAGAAGCCTGGCTAATTACTGAGGCATCAGACTCGAAACCTGCGACAGAGACGCATTTGGCCGCGCAAAGGCAACACGCAAGTTGCCATGCTGCTTGAACAGAGGGCCCCCCACCTTGCTACCTCTGAATCAATCATGTGCGTGGTGTGTGGGGCCCGCCCTCCTGGTCTACTGCGAAAGGAGCAGATAAGGTCCTGGACACGATGCTGACCTGGGTCACTACTTGCGTGAACTGATAAAGGACAACTCCACTGCTTTCGTGATGTTTACGACAGTTGCTCGTAGAGGGCGTCTAAAACAGCAAAGGGCATGAACGCAACATCCGCTTCGAAGGACTCGCCGGTAGCATGAATCCTAAACACATCCCGACAACATCATAACTACCTACCTGGAATTACCGAATAAGAAGATGAAAGTCGAGAAGCTAAGGAGGCGGTGCAAGCACATGTAAAGAGGCGTTTTCTTCTCTTCGTCAAAGGATCCAAGCTTATCTACGGGACGAAGCTCGTTTGCTCTGCACTTCTTCTCGTTCTGAAGCACGGCTTTCTCAACTCCACAAGTCAAGACAGCCTGAAGCGATTCCCATGAGCAAAATCTCCCGAACTTCTCAGAAGAGGAGTGTGCGTGGCCAACCACAGCCCCCGCAACAATGACCACATTGTGAATACATTGGCAGGATGTGTCTGGAGTCTACGGCTCGGCCAAGCACATGGCAGAGACTGGGGGGAGTGGGCACAATCCCTTGAAGGCAGCAGGCAGCAACCCGGTACGTGAGAGAAACATATTTGTCACAAGTGATCCTGCCTGTCCCTGGCTTCGTGAACCTGGTGGCATGGCCTTATCGCAGGACTCTGTGTCTCTTGCCGTTCGTCGCACAGACACATGATGCACATGCTGACCTGATAATTAATAAGTTGTTAGGCAACAACCAACGCAGAATCTCTGCTCAGAATAGCTCAGGGTGGGAGAGCTTCTTGCCGGCGCTGTTGCACCTTTTTGGGCCCATGCGACCCATGCGACCTTCCATTCCGTGCGTGTCCAGTGTTTTGAGCAGTTCCCATCGTAGCCCAACCAGTTCCAATCCTGCCCGAGCCACAACCTGATTGGTGCATCAGGTGTATGCCTGCAGCAATGAGCTGGACCCGCCGTGACATGAGACACCGAAAATACCGCTTATGAAAAGCTAAAAGCTACCAGCTCAACCCTGACATGGTTCGTCAGGGTTCGCGTTCTGGAACATCAGATACAAACATCCGTGCTGAACCGGGCCGAGGCCGGCACACGCTCCTTGCCATCAGAGAACCCCTCCAGTGCAGCATCGTTCCGAATCCATGACCCCTGCAGCCAGCAGGGTTGCAAGAAACATCTGGCCGTTCAGCCGAGACTCCTGGACGGGTTAAACATCAAGCACAAAGGCATATGTCTTCATGTTGAGAGTCCTTCACTAGAGTGTCAATATGAGCCTTGTACGGACCCACAGATGTCTTCTCTCCGTGCGCCTGCCATCATTCACAGTCCAATGCCATCACCGGACAAAACGAAACTCGCTACGGAATTCTGAATCTCGAACAGTGACAACTTTTCAGCAAAATTGACATTGCACGTTGGGGACACATCAAATGCGGGATGGACCCTTCTGTTCCGAACCAACAGCTCGGCTATCTCCTTCATGGTCTCATCAGCTAGCCTGAGGCAGGCTAGAGCAGGAGATTTTGGGGCCGGGAGGAGAGAGCGCCTGCAGCCGCTGAGTTGGCAATCGAAAAGCCCCGAAGTGGAGCGAATGCTTTTCAGGAGGACCTGGACAGGCTGGACAGGTTGGGCAGGGAGGGACCGAGAGCGGCAGCTCTCCCCTCGCCTGACCAGCAGAAGCTCCCAGAGGGTTCCAAGAAAGCTCCAGATGTGACAAGGCCCCGTTGCCCTGAGAGGCGGGTGTGAGGAAAAAGCATACAGCACTGTGGTGCTGGCACGATGGTCGTGGCGGTTGGAACGCCTCGAGAATCGAGGCGATGTGGAGAGTGGCGGCCTCGCCACAGAGCCCGGTGTAGCGGAGATCCAGGTGCCTTGCGTCAGACGTGGACACGTGGACGGAACCGTGCCTAACGGACTCTAGCATGCCTCAAGGAGGGGCTGTTTTGCGCAGCTTGGCAAAAGGACGCCAAAGCCTCCTGGTTTCTCGGAGAGCTCAACATGCCCATTGACACCCAGCAATCCTTTTGAATGTAGCAGCACAGTAGCATTGCTCCAGCTCCTCACCAGCAGGCCCTGAAGTGATTTCGTTGTGCCGGAGAATCAGGCTTTCCAAAGTCAGGCTACACCTTAGACTGCGCAAAGCAAACAGGCCATTGTGAAACAGAGCAGGCTTCCGGCTGCAGTGCTTCCGCGATCTGGAGCATTCCAGTCGACCTGGCAGTTATGTCTTACATGCCGAAGGCTTGAGCTCCCCGTCAAGCAGAGGCCCCGTCGTAATGCCACAACCAGTGAGGTCCAACAGACGCAAGTGCACACCTGGAGTGTCAAGCGGGCGCGGAAAAGGAGTAAGACTCGCTTTGAACCCCTGTGGCCAAGCCACTCTTGCTGGCAAACTCCGCAATTTCGCGTGCACCTGTCTGGTTCGCGGTAGCCAAAAGCCATGCTAGGATCTCACCGCCACGAGAAAACTGGCAGCAAAGCATCCGCCTTCATCGCCGATCCGTGCATGAGCAAGGACCAATGTTGGCGATTCTTCCTGCAGCGCAGAAGACAGCATCTTCCTAACAACTGTAAAAATCGTGAGGCATATCGCAGGTGGATCATATCTGTGGATCATGGTGGTCCTGCGCTTTCAGGAACGTGCTGTAGCACCTGGTGAAAGGATGTCCGCAAGCGAAAGATGTGAAAAGGGACATGGTACTTTCTTAATGCAAAAGACTGACGCAAGCCGGCAGTACTAGAATCATATGGAATCATCGTCGGACCAACCACGACTTGTATCACACAATGATATGCCATGTTTTTGGAGGAACAACGCCAGCGTGACCACAGCCATCATCAGCTAGGACAATCATCTCTGTTTCATCAGTTACACTAACGTTGACTGTAAACATCGAAAGACAGCATTAGTATTACATACGAGGGGATGTGCTGCATCGTCTATTTCTTAGAACTCGACAACAACACCACCACCATCATCAGCAGCGGCAGCATCATCGTCCCGGTCTTCGTCCTCGTTTGTACCCTCATAGTCATCCTCTTTCTTGTCAATCTTCTCGTGCTCGTCACCAAGTTGGCGAGATTGCTGAGCATATAAAAGGCAGAACATGGGATTGCATGCCATTTTTGGTCATGTGTCCACGGGCTCTTGCACAAAAGCAGAAGACAAATCCTGCAGGCTGCAAGTTCAGTCTCAAAACCCTTAGCAAAAAATAACCTTGAAACTTAGAAATCCTACCTACAGTAGAGGCCGCACTTCAAGAAAGGCGTGGCAAATGTCACCCAGCCGTCTTGCTGATCTCGCTTGGCAAACATCATCATCATCATCAGCAGCAGCAGCATCATCATCACCCGCTTGTTCATCCTCGTGATGATCATGATCGTCACCATCTTCACCAAAGCCCCCACCGACCAATACAACACGATACCTCACCTGCTTGTCTCACTCATCCAGGTGTACGGACACGCCGTGAACCCCAGCATTGCAATCATCAAGCGAGCCAGCAAAACGATTCACCAGAACACAATGTTTTACAGATACTTCGAGCGGTGGTGTAATGTTGGCCTTCACCACAAAGTCGTCCGTGTCATCCGCACATGCATAATCAACATGATCGCCATCAACCATAATTACCAGCTGAAGCAGCTGTAACAGCTGCAGCTTCGAAAACAATATCGTCAACATGATCGACATCAGCTTCCGCATCAGCTGCCGAAGTCATGTGCCACAGCAACCCCAGACACTGCCGGGGGCGCCATTCAGAAACAACTGAAAAAAGGCTGTCGTCCCCACAACTAGAACTGCAGAAGCAGCATCTGTGCTACTGCTTGCTGACAGCGACAGCCGAAAACCAGTGTAGACGAAGCACCCTGGTGAAGACGGGCTCACGGATCTCAGTCGCATGGCATTGAAGCTACGACGAGGCAGAACGGAAAGCCACTGGAACCTATGCACAACTACATAAAACATACTTTGCTCAACACTTGCACACCACACAAACGCTCGCCAAGCCTAGCAAGCAGATGGCGCTATCAAGGTTTCTCTGGATGCCGTCGCTAACTCGAGCCAAACACATCGCCACCGGTGCAAGGCTTGCAAGTGGACATTTCAGCCGGCATGTCTCGCGGACACTCGGAAAAACTAGCTGCTTGTATGTGAACAAACGCATGCGGATACATTCGGAACTTGCCGTTCGGAAGCATACCGTGCTACGCTCATATGCTACAAAATGTTGATGCTTTTGACTGAGTCTCACATGATTGCCCTTCTCCTCGGATTGAAGGTGCCCAGCTCGACATGCCATGACTCAAATATAAACTTCAGCCGAGACCTTTGCAAGTATTATTTAGGAGCAGCACGACGAAAGCACCATGAAAGCCATTTTGCATCTTGGCAGCGTTGTTGAAACATTTCCACCCGGACGCTGGCTTTGCCGCACCCAAACCATCTCAGGGGCGTCAACCCGCTGAGCTGCAAACGCTGCTTCTCATGTCGACGTTGCCTCGGCTTGATTCATGGAGCCCGAACTCTTGTTGCTCTGTTATTGTTGCCTTTTGGGCAGCAGCAGTGGTTCGGCGTGCTTTGCAACTTAAGACTTCCACAATCGGCCAGAATTGTCTTTCGTCCTTGCTTGTCCCTGCAGGCCGGCCTGAGCCACCAAAGCAATGTGAGAGAATACTCTAGACATGCGGTGGTAGACAGGCCATTTGTTGTAGCTGTTGGCTACCTCAGTTTCGCAGCTTGTTTGCAGGTGCATCCTCAAGCCTTGGAAACTGCCAATTTAGCTGCCCCAACCTTGAAAAAAACGTCCACTAAGTTTCATGATAAAAAAACACGATGCCCGAAAATAGAGCAGCAGCAGCAGCAGCAGCAGCAGCAGCAGCAGCAGAAGCAGGAGTAGTAGTAGTAGTAGTAGTAGTAGTAGTAGCAGCAGCAGCAGCAGTGGTAGTAGTGGCAGTTGTTATTGTTGTAGCGGCAGCAGTAGGAGTAGCAGCTGCAGCAGCAGCGGTAGCAGCAGCGGCAGCAGCACCAGTACCAACACAAACTCATACTGCGTGCAACTATGTCCATCATACCAGTCGCCACGACAACCATAGTAGGAACAAAAATGGAAATGCCGCTCTCCATCGACGCCCATGGTCGTAGCATTGTCTTTCGAACTTCTACACAGACTCTACACTTCTACCACTACTGTTTATTGTTGTCAGTGCAGCTGTCACTGCTCACTATCTGTAATCTGTTCTTTCAGTTGTAACATTAGAAAGAGATGTCATAAATGTAGGTTGTGTATGTATAAAACGATAGACATGTGTGTGTGTGTGTATGTATATATATATATAGAACACATACATACTGCGTCCCCTGTGCGACAAGCTGCAGCGGGAAGCGTGAAGAGTGCTGGAGGTGCTGCCATATGTTGTCTCTGTAAAGAAACAGACATACCGCACGCCATCATATTCCACCACCGTTCGCTGACATGCCTTGCAAGCGAAAAGCCAAGCCGTGACAGTGAGCTTTAAGCTACAACGTAATAAAAAGCAACACCATGATCATGAAGATAGGTGTCTTCTTTGTCAGCTGCTTTCGGGCATGACAAAGCCGCAGAAAAGTCGCTGCAGTCGACCAGCTCCTTGACCTCATCATTAATTTCATGTCTCATTTCGATCGCAGATTAATGCAGCCATTGTCCCTCACATCTGCATAAGTCTCCACAGAAGTCTTTGTGACCAGGCACATCTTTAACTGGCAGGATAGCTTGCTGTCCGTTTCCTTGGCAAAATCAAACTGAAAAAACGTATGATAAGACTGTTGCAACAGGACGAGGGGGCTTCATTTCTTCGACGGTGGCGTGTTCGCATCTACAGTCAGGGGCGCGTCTGAGCACGCAGCTTGCTACATTCCATGCCTCGTGCGTGATCCCATTGGCCCCCATGTTGCAAAAACTTGCCAACGCTGCACACTGATTTCGCATCAACTGCAGACCCCACACCTTGGAATGATCACCCTCTGCTGCGCATTCGAACAAAAAACTGAGCACACAATACCACTCCCTGGGGTTCTCCACATCAAACACACGGAACGGGAGGCCATATGCTCAAACACGCAAAAAACAAACACATGCAACGGCCGATTGCACAAAGCTTCTCAAAAGCTCGACGGTCCGTGCTCCCAGCGAGCCCGACTGGCTCACACCAATGACACCGTCTTGCTTTTGAGTCAGCATATCGTAGACATCAGCTGTACCTGGCATTGGCGGCAAAGGCTGGATTTGCTGCAAACCTGCTAAGTCGCTCGGAGCACCGTAGTCATAGTCTCCAATCCCATCGCATTTGAAGATGCAGGCGACCAGAACTGCCAATGACAGCGTTCCATTGGTGTGTGTATCTTGCAGACTTCCGGCTAAGGCTCCGCTGAAAACAGAGCCAAACAGCTGAGGCAAAAATGCAAGGCGAGAAGAGTCGCGACCTTGCTCTCCGTTTCCCGCTCTCTGAGACCAGCTTCGCAATTCAATTTTGTCGGACTTGCTCCCTTCTCCGTGCTGCGAAGCGACAAAACGCCCTGGCCGGGCCGTTCTGTATTCCAATCCAGACGGAGACTGCTACACAGATTCTGTGCTTCCGGCTTCCCGAGAACGTATGCTAGTGTCCTCAGGCTGATAAAGTTTGGCCGGACCGTGTTGTCAACCATCGATCTCAGCATCTCTTCAGCTGCCCTGCAGCCTTTGGGCCGTGCCTCCCCACAAGCTTTAAAAAAGAGATTGTACATGACCAGGCCGAGTTCACCTCCAGTCTCACGAAACCTCTCCTGCCAAAACCTCACACCATCAACATCTCCAATAGAGGCTCGCCCTTCCATGAGGATACCAAACGTGACCTCACTGGGCTTGCAGCGTTGGGACATGCTCAGGAAGAGATCCTCTGCCTTCCGGACCTGACGTGCTTTTGCATAGGATTTCATGAGGGTGTTGTACTCGATCTGCTGCGGTTCACCCATTCTGTTCGCTGCTGCCCACCACCATTCTGCTCTTGCAACATCGCCAGCAGTCGCGGCTGCATCCATCAACATCCTCAATGTGCGGCATTCGACTCGCAAGCCTGCCTTCACCATTCGTACGTACCAGGCTTCGGCTGAGCGCACATCTCCAGATCTGGCTGCGACATGAATCAAGCTGCCGTAGGTCTGCGCGCTGGGCGTGACAGAGAAGGCCTGCATTTCGTGGATGACAGATTCAGCTTTGGATACTGCATCTCTCCCCGTCCCAGCAAATCCAGAAATAACAGAATTGTAGCTGATCACATCTGCACGGATGCTGTTGCCTTCCATATCTTTAAGCCAATGCACAGCAGCATCTGCCTGTTGACAGCGCGCTTGCGCGTTTAGAAGGGCATTGTAGCAAGGCTGATTGGGATGGACATCTGCGGCCTTCGCCTCAGTAAACCAAGCCAGGGCCAAGTCTGCAGCATCCGCTTCGGCGCAGGCAGCAATCACAGCTGAATAAACAAAGGTGTTAGTTTCAAGCATGTTGGCATCCATAATTGCAAGGAGCTCGCTTGCAACTGCAAGGTCCCTTTCCGCACGGATGCCAACAACAAAGGTTTGTGCATCTGGCACGAGCCTGCGATCAAGCATCTTGCCTATCCAGGGGACTGCATCGATGCGTCCATGCTGGGCCTTTTCTGCGATGAACACAGATAAGGTCTGCTGAGTGTCAAGCCCATGGGCAATGCTCAAGTCCACCAACTTTTCCGCCAGCGATATATGGTCATGATCAAAACATGTGCAAACGAGACTGCGCAGAATGTAAGGTCGCTCCTTCAATCGTTTTGTTCGGAACATGCATTCAAGTATTGGCTCGAAGTCGGTTACATTCAAGCGTATCTGGCTCTCTAGAGCCAATTCTATCCAGATTGAGGCCTTGAAGTATGTGAGAGGATTCCGAGTGAAGCCACGGCAAAGAGCTGCAATATGCTTCGACTGAGGTTTGGGAACTGTTGCAGCCGTGACATGTTCATGCATCCATGCGACCATCCAAGACTCGGCCTTCAGCACATCAGTTTCGGACAACTGTTCGCAGATTTGGCCTCTCAAATCTCTCAAGCCGTGATATCCCACATGCAGCAGCTGGACCAGCAAAAGTTCTGCGTGGAGGGTGCATCCTTTAGCCAGGAATGCTTCGAGCAGCCTTTCGCCGGCCCCAACAATGACGGCTCTGACAGACTCCTCGTGCTGCCTGAATGAAATCAACCGCTCCATGAAGATTTCGGCCCGGAAAAGACCTGGCCAGCTTCCTTCTTCGACGTAGCAGCTGATGATCCGGGCTGCGGCCTCGGCAGTGGATAAGGGCAGCGCTGCATCCGATTGAATCGCTTGAAGCATGGGTTGCAGTTGCAGTTCTGCAAGATGAGGTTCCTTCTGATCGCACAACTCCAGGATCTTCGATTCCATCTGTGATGACATCACAGCTCGCCCAGAGAATGACACCATTGAGTCACGGCGCCATGTCCGCAGCTGCTTCAGAGCCCTCTCCGACGGCACAGCATACATCCAGTCTTTGATACCACGTACTCCCGCCTGAAAAATGGCATGTTGGGCATGCTTCCCAGTTTGCTGAGAGCGCTCCACTGGCCGATCTGCGGGATCGGGCCCAGTCTGTCTCACTTGGCCCAGGGTCGGCTTCAAACCGAAAGATGCCATTTGCTGATACCAGCGAGCCGCCTTAGATGCCATGCCTGCCTTGGAATAAATCTCCGCAATACGTGCAAAGACACTTTCGCCCTCCATGGCGTCCCTGGCCTTGGCCCTCAATGTACTTCGTTTTGCGCGCGGCCGTAGCATCTTTCTACCAGCACAAAAGGTCGTCAGCGCAACGAAAGACACTCTTCGGAGAGCAACAAACCGGCCGAGATGATTGCTCCCCACCGAAACTCCTTGCCCCACTGCCTGACATTTTGCACCGGCTTGGCAGGCACATCCTTCCTGTCTGCACAGTGTTGCGCACGTGGCTTGCAGTGTAGCGCAGGCCGCCATTGCAGGAGCTTATGCCAATTCCTTGAGCGGTCAAGACGAATCGATCCAAGCGACCGCAAGGTTCTTGCTCATGCAGACTCGCACATGGAAGCCCGTGAACCCTCGACGTAACATCACGCCTGACCAAGAGATTCTGAGATTCAGTTTGACGGAAAAGATCCCAGGTGAGTGGATCTACAAAGCTACTTGCCGTGCACTGTCTGTTGCAGACACGAACCTCTACTTGCCGCAGCCCTGTCTTAGGGCGTCAGCGAGTCACCTTGCTGCTGATTGGAAGCACAAGCGAAGATATAGCCTTATGAGACATCGAATTCAACCGAAGCTTTGGACAGCACAGACCACGCCGAAAGAATCCCTGAAGATCGGGAACACCCTCACAAGCCAAACGAAGAAACACGATCGATGTAATTTGGCAAAGAAGCTCGCATCAGCTTTCGCTGTGATGCCACAGGAATGCGGAAAGCATGCATCAAAAGAGTCCAATCTGCCGAAGTATGATCACAAGAACCAGGAAGACGATCATCGCAACGAACACGGGAATGAACCTTCACCAAGCAAAACTGGAGAGGTAGGCATGCAAAGTGCGCCCGAGCCACCCAGATAGTCGATTTTTGTATGCAGCAGAGGTGCTTCTTCCAGAGCCCAAAGTCTGGCCATGCCAGGCCTTAACAACAAGAGACAAACTCACACCAAAGAAGCGGTGCACATGTCACCACCTGTACATGATCATACCACTTGCCGCCGCAGCTCCCAAGGCTGACAAATAAGTGCCCCAATCTCTGCCTGCACTGGACAGCCCGTAACTCCGCAGCAGCTTTGCAGAGAGTTCGATGCATCCTCTTTAGCACTTAATCCACCGGCCTTCTGTGGGCGTCAGCAGCTGTGGGTCTTCATTGGGTTCTTCTCGAGCAATGCCGACTCGTCGACCCTGCGCCTTGACAGAAGACAATCGAAAAAAGAGTCCAATCATGAGATGTTTGGAGATGTGCCTCTGCTTGCGTAAGGACCTGCACTCGCAGGTAGACGGCTTTCCACACAAGCACACACACACACACACCATGCGAGTTGAGGGGAGGACATACATGGTCATGTTCACGGAGCCCACATCTTCCTCGGCTCAACGCGAAGGAAAGCTCTTGGGGCGCTCCCGGCCCCGAAAACTGCCCCGGCCTGCTCGCCGTCGTAAAAGGTAATGTCGCTTGGACCGATCGTCAGGGCGTCTGAGTCGCGCGCAACCCTTGCCGAAGGCAGAATACAGAGGGAGCTGCGGCAGTGAAGGCACAAAAGATCGCCTTTCCAAGTACTTGCCCAGGTCGAGGTCGAAGCTTCCGAGAAACGTGCCTCCCATCAGCCTCGCAGTTGATTGCACTAGTTTTCAATCATTTGCGTTTTCGCCAATACGGTGCGAGTCTGTTCCCTTTGGTTGATGCTGCACCACGACCGAAGAGCAAGGCGCAGGCAAGGCGCTCATGATGATGCAAGCTGACGGTCATGGTACAAGACCAGGAAGGCATCTTAATTCGCGGGTAGACCTGGGCTGTTCCGGCAGACGACGAAGACTTCAGTGCAGTTTCGTGTTGAATTGGTGAAGGCGCCATTCGCCAGTTGAAGACAGCTTTGCCATCCACAGAATTGAAGTGGACCTTAGCAGTCCGAGGTGAGCTGCATTGCCATGAATACTCGCCGGACCACATTCCGGCATATTCCGGCAAGGAGCGTCAGTCTGTTGCAAAGCATCATATTCACCACCATATTCTTTGCAGTCGAGCTGTGTGTGTATTTGAACATTTGTGGAATCACCACTCCTTGCGACACACCATTCCAGGCTTGCTTGCAAGAACTCTCAAGTTTGCTCCACTTGATGAAGTCCAACGGATTCTCCAAGCCAAGATGCATCAGCTTCACACCACTCGCTGTCCAAATAACTAATCGGACTTCCAGCCTGACAGTTGCAAGGTCCGACCATGTCGAACATGCGAAGACAAGGCATACGGAACGTTCAGGCTAGCAGCTCGGTTGTGGGTGGCTTGCTGAGAGTCGATGGTTTGACGGCAGCGGCATCAGATGATTCAATCATCTCCACCCACCTCAAGTGCGCACGACAGACGCAGGTGACGCGGTCCTACTGATCTTGCAGGCTTCGCCTCTGCAGCGGTAAGGCTGGTGCATCTCCAGGCTTCCCCGATTTCTGCCAGGAAATTCCGGGCTGTGGAGGGATCGGTTCTCCGTGGGCAGCATTTGCTTCCTGCAGATGCTCGGTGGCGATTCTGTGAACACGTCATTGCCCCAATCTGGTCCTGTTGCCACTTTGCCACAAGCTTGAATGCCATCGATCTTCCAGATCTATGACCGTGCCTGGGCGGGTCCACAGTGTGACCACAGGACTTGAAGGTTCCTAGAGTCTAGAGAAAATGTGGAAGTTGTAGGAGAACGCTAGTCCGCTGCTAAATCGGGATAGCCTGACTCGGGAAGAACCCAAACTTGTGACTTGGGAAGCGTTTCGGATATTGGAGTGCATGGTCCGAAGAAGGCCGAGGTTTGATCCGGATTTCAGGATCTCGCCCTGAAGGGTCTCACCTCGCACGTGAGCTCTCCAAGACGGGGTGGTTTAAGTCTTTCGTGCACCGGCCATGCGGGCCCAATGGTCAACACTCCAAAAAGCAAGACATCGAACCCAATCAGATTGGAAAGCGAGAACTACGGAACAACTCCGATCTCAACATCTTGGGCCATGTCATTTGAAGATTCCAATGCCAGAATTTGCGACGAACATGCGAGCAATCGCCCTAGCATCGAAAGGTTGCCAAGCGTGCTGTGAGTCATGTCGGCAATCACCATATCTATTAGACGAATCGCCGCCAATGACCGAATCCTGCAGAGCAAGCTCTTCCAGGGATTTGATGGTTACCTGCCCAGCACATGCAAAGCTTTGCAAGCAGGGTTGTGTCAAGCTTATTTCGTTTAGAAACTTGTCGCAGCCTCCAGTCGCCAGTCTTCTGGAAGCGAGACGTCTCTGGCTTCGACACGGTGGAAGTCAGGGGTATTTGTCTGCATCTGTGCCATGTTCCGCATTGATATCACATGTTCCCGCCCAAGGCTCACTTCAATATACGGATCTGCAAGACCCGTGCTGCTGTAGTGGATGCAGACTGCCTTTACGAAGTACAGGCGAACACGAATTCTTGGTGGCACTGATTCCCCGTCGTGAAACTTCTTGAATAATGTGTCGTCAGAGAATGCAAACTCATCCAAGGCGTGGTCATGCCCATAGCTTGTTTTCAATTTCATGATATCATCGCCCTGTATCTCAACAGGTTGCCTCTCTGCCTTCGCAAGCACGACGTCTTCCAGTCCAAGGCCGTCTCCCTCTTCCATGGCGTCGTCGTTTTCCTCACCCTCGTCAACCTCTTCGACGTCATCTTCAGGACTCGACTCCCACCCATCCACCACCTTAAACGCACACTTGACGAATCCAAACACCTCGCCGGTTGTAAAGCTCCAATTGGAGCTTTCTCGAAGATTCACTGTGTCTTGATTCTTGCTTAAGCACAAAGACCTGTACCAAAAGCCAGAGTCGAAGGGAGCCGAGTTTTCCAAGCTTCCGCTCACAGACTTCCGTGAACCGGCTTCCTTGACTCTGGCCCCCTGACGAGGTGAAAAGCTAATTTCCTTCCGCATGTTCAAGGATTGGCAAGGTATAGCAGGCACTGGTCGTTTCACAGCAAGGGATGATTTCAGAGGCTGCGGCAGTCCAGCCGGATCTATGAAACCAGCTTCCTGAACTTCGTCCCGAACCTCCGTCTTTAATCCCTTGTGCACCTGCTGTCTCCATTCCTCAATCCCCTTGCGCAAGTCATCAAGGCTTTGCTGCTGGAACCTGTCCTTCGCTGCAAGTTGCTGCCGCGCCTCCCGAAGGAGTTTTGCTATACGATCCTGCTGGGCATCGTAGGGTTTCGACAAGCTAACACCATCCAGCCAGCAACAGGGCCGCTTGTCTTGCAGGCTGACTAGGACGTCTCCGATGTGATACGACTCATAGCCAACCGAAGCTCCAACCGATGATGGCGGCTCATAGACACGAACCACAAGGTAGGGCTCGAAGGGTGCTTTCTCCGGAAGGAGACACTGCAACTTGCCAGCTGTACAAAAGTCAAAGTTCTTGCCCTCCGTGTTCAATGCCATGATCTTGGTGGTCCACGGCTTCAACCGCTTGGCCCTCTCCATGGTCTCGGTGACCTCAGAAAATTTGAATTCAATTTTGTCCTTGGCATGCTGCTTCCCGGGCTTTGGGGATGCAGCCTTGGATAAATCAGATGAGAATGAGCCGACCTCAACTGTCACAACGGGCCGAGAGGCATGCACAGTGCCTGCAGCTGAACCCAAAGACTCAACACGCGGCAAAGGCAAAATGTCACGCAGGCCACGGAGAGAAAAGTGGATTGTAGCTCTCCTCAAACGGCAAATGTGATGCCTCTCATCAAAGTTCTCCGAGGGATGCGGCCACATGTCCCGAGGACCCAGAGACGGCTCATGGCGGTGTTTGTAAAGAAGCAGCTCAAACGCTACCAGCATTTCCCCCACACACCGCGAACCGTTTTGATCTCCGAATAGCTTGATCCACTGTGGCTTCAAGATGTAAGGCTCCCACCTTCCCGCATCATCCTTGCGACGCATGTGCGAATAGACACAGACTGCCTTCCCAAGCTCCAGGTTTCTGACCTGACCTTCCTGAAAGAGCGAGACCGAGATCGGTT